CTACCCCCCAGATCCAGAGCTCCCATGCCCGCCTCCTGGTTGCTCTGACCCTCAGGGTCCTTCCTTCCTTCCTCCTCTGCTTGGGCGTGAGTCTGTCCACGGCATGCCCAGCCCCCACGCTGCAGGGCTCCTCGCAGCAAGGGGACAGGGAAGGGGGCTGACCATGTCCCACCTCCACAGAGCGCAGGGCACCCGAGTGCTAGTCCACTGCAAGATGGGCGTCAGCCGCTCAGCGGCCACGGTGGTAGCTTACGCCATGAAGCAGTACGGCTGGAGCCTGGAGCAGGCTCTGCGCCACGTGCAGGAGCTCCGGCCCATCGCCCGCCCCAACCCAGGCTTCCTGCGCCAGCTGCAGACCTACCAGGGCATCCTAACTGCCAGGTATGGAGTGGTGGGCAAAGGGAGAGGGGTGGTGGGAGTGGGTGCTGGGGTGGCTGCTGGGTCACTCAGAGCTGACTCAGGGCCACCTCCTCACAGCCGGCAGAGCCATGTCTGGGAGCAGAAAGTGGTTGGGGCCTCCCCAGAGGAGTCCCTGGCCCCCGAGGTCTCTACACCGTTCCCACCTCTTCCACCAGAACCCGGGGGCAGTGGGGAGGTGATGGCTATGGGGTTGGAGGAGAGCCAGGCATCCCCAAAAGAAGAGCCTGGGCCAAGACCCCGCATCAACCTCCGCGGGGTCATGAGGTCCATCAGCCTCCTGGAGCCCCCCTCAGAGCTGGAAAGCGCCTCAGGAGCTGGTGACCTGCCAGAGGTAAGGCTGGGGCTAAGGAAGGAGCCCAGGCTGAGGTGGGGTGGGTCCAAAAGGAGGAGGGGCAGGGGGCAGGGGGCAGGAGCGTGGAGAAAGACCAGGACTGGTGCTCCACTTTTAGCCCTGAGCAAGGGGCACATGGGCAGCTCTCTTTGGTCCCCTCAGAGCAGCTGAGACCTAGTGAGGGCAGGTGAGTGCTGCCTTCCATGGAGCTGGAGAGCAGTCCTGGGGCCAGGGGCATCCAGAGGGCTCCTTGGGAGTCATCCCCAGGCTAGGGGCTGCAGGCTGCAGGCAGCTCTCAGCTCAACAAAAGGACTTGCTTCCTAAGGGGCAGGGCTGCCCAGCCCTGCAATAAGCATCCTCCCTAGGCCAGGAGCTAGGCCGCTGACTGCTGACTCTAGATGGGGGTAGATGATTGTGGCAGCACCTCCCAAATCTGAGATGCAGCACGGTAAAGGAGGCGGCGCAGAGGGGTTATAGCGCCGATGCGACCAGAGTCCTGGCTGACCTGGGGGGAGGAGGGCTCATCTCATAGAGAAAGGGAACATTTGGAAGAGCCCTCCTGGAGGCGGCGGCACTGGGTGTGGAAGGATGGGAAGAATGGATGGTCGATGGATGGGTGTGGGTGTTCCTAAAGGCAGGCTGTCCTCACTCCACATCCAGCTCAGGGCCTGGCACCTGGAAGGTGTTTCACAACTGACTGTCTAAAGGCAGAGGGGCCAAGAGGAGGAGGTGAGGGCCTCAGTGACATGGCAGGTGCGGGAGCGCTGGGGAAGGAGGGCCTCTGGAGCCAGAAAGCAGCTGTAGACAGGTGAGGGCCAAGGAGCAGGGGCAGTAGGGCTGGGATGTTGTCTTCCCTCCTAGGGGAATGTGACTCATGAGTAACTCAGTTTTTTTGTATTCAGTCAACAAACATTCTGCACCTACCCTTTTCCAGGCTCTGTACTCCATGACTCTTCTTTGTTATATTTTCATCCTTCCAGGTTTTCTCTTCAAACGAATCTTCAGATGAAGACCCTCCACAGCCCTACCCTCAGGTCTCAAAGGCCAAGGAAGGCCGGCGGGTCCGCAAGGGGCCTTGGCCTGCCCTGAAGTCACGCCAGTCTGTGGTTGCCCTCAATAGCGCCGCCCTGGTGGCCAGCCGGACTCGGGCCTTCCAGGAGCAGGAGCAGGAGCAGGAGCAGAGGGAGGCTGGCTATTCCTCCACACCCAGGCTCAGGAAGGTGGTGAGGCAGGCCAGCGTGGATGGCAGTGGGGAGGAGGGTGAGGCCTGAGTCCTCACACATCCCTTAGACACAAATAGAACACAGCTCCTGGGATGAGCACCCCTCACTCCTGTCAGCCTGTCCACACTCCTCTTAGCTCCTCCCCAGGAGGCTCCAGGCCTCCATCACTACAGCCTCAGCTCCTACAGCCTTAAGTCTCAGATCCATGTCCACCTGTCCAAGGGCTCAAGACTTTCTCTGTAATTGGGGATATGGTAGAGAGACTGAAGGTGTTTTGGGGGGCATTCTTAACCAATGCCTGAAACACTTGCAGCCATGGAATAAAACAGAGTTTCCCAGTGCTCCCTCCCTCACCATTCCTGCCTGCCTTATCCCTACCCCACTTTCTTTCCTGGGGCCCTCTAGGCCAGAGAACCAGTGATCCCCAAAGGTCTAGAATAACCTCAGCCCTCAGTCCTCAGTCCCTAGTCCTGGGAGGCTCTGAAGAGCAGAGAGCTGGGCCCTCTGATGGGGCTGGCAGGTTGGCCTCCCTCACATACCCTACAGCCAGCTGGAGTCTTTTTGCTGGAGTCTCCCCCCACTTCTCTCCATGGCAAGGCCCTGGGACACTGGGTACCAGGCCAAAGAGAGTTTTCTTTTTGTCTTTCACAGCCTCTGGCCAGTTTTTCATAGTCTTAACAGTATCTGGCTTTGTACTTAGAAATAAAAAATTTTCATATTATTTTTGATTTTATGATAAAGCCATTTACCCGTCAGTCCAGTTCTTTGGTGGTTACAGGAGGAGTCTGGCCTCTCTTTACCCCTTCCAGTCTCCTCACAATTCCCATGTGTCTTGAGACAGGCCTGTTTGGGGTAGGGTGGGAGGAAGAATGGGAAAGGAGGGAGGCCAGTGTTGTCTCCCTCATCTCCTACGGCAGGGCCTGGGTAACTGGGTTAGCTGCCCACTACCCCCTCAGGCTGGTAGGCAGGGGAACAAGTCTGCACTGGGCAGCAGGTGCTTGGCTCTGTTGGGACAGCTGAAGAGAGTTACCTATGAGGAAGTGGAAGCTGCTAACACCTGTATGGACAGGACCAAGCCTGTTTCAGAAATTAAGGCTCCTTTTGGACACCTGATGCTAGTTCTTGAGCACACTTTGGGTCCCAAGAACCGTTTTCCTGCTACATGCAAGAGAGCTTGATCTTCTAAGCCAGCCCATTACTGCCAGGGCAGAAGGAACCTTGATGGGCCCTCCCCTTCTGCCTAGGGATTCTTTCTGCTTAGTTGTAGTGTTCAAGAAGAGTAAGTGGCTCCATCTTGGTCACTTCTAGCCCCTCTTCCCAAGATCGCATTCTCTGTCCTATAACACACTACTTTGATTGGGGGGTGGGTACACAACTCCTTCCCTCAAAGCAGGCCTCAGGTAGGATCTGGCACCAAATGTTTTCATTGATCGAGACCTGATGCCCATTTTTAAGAATCAGTCTCTCACCCACACCCTGGTGCTCTAACCCTAGGGTACCCAGGGGCAGGAGACTTGGGTTCTAACCCTGGCTTTACCACTTACAAGTTATTTCACTTTAAGTCTCTTTCTTTCTGTAAAATAAAGCAATGAGATCAGGTTATCCCTAAGTGCTCCCTCCCACTGTGATATTTTAACAATACATGTCATTATGCATTGACATAATTCAGCCTCAACATACTTTATAGAAGAATCCTTTGTACCTGTCTGTGGTTGGCATGCCTAGTGTCACAAAGTGGGGGTACAGAGAAGCTAATTCTGATTCTTGGTCCACTTAGCTGGTCTGCCCTGCTGAGCAAACACGAGGGGCTGCCTGCCACCCTATAGCCAACCATGAAGCTCACCCAGACTGCCCTTTCAGTAGCACTAGGCTGGGGATGGGGGCAGGTGGAAGTGGCAGTGTCAGGAGGGAAGCCAAGGCAGGGTCCAGTCATGAACTTAGCACTGTGGGGCCCATTAGAATTGATGGAGGACTCTTGAGAAGCAAGAGTTCAGCACACAGGGGAACAAAAACTGGAAACTGCATAAAAAAATGCAGACAAATGATTAAGAACTATATGTATATACAAACTCACAAATTGCTAAAGGGGTAAAAAATAGTTTTTAAAAAAGATATAAAATTAAAAATATGTCTCCCTCAGATACTGTCCTCCAGTCTTTCACAGGCAACCCTTGTTACCAGCTTCTTGAACCCCTCCAAAGACATTGCGTGCTTGTGTCATAAAATGTTTGTGTATTCTTTTAAAAAATATGTTATAGCATATTAACATACTACTCTGCACTTAGAAATTTATTTCATATCATGAAGTTGCACATCAGTACATATGCTCTGCCTTATCTTTATTTTTTAAAAGTAAAAAGCAGCCTGGCCGGTGTGGCTCAGTGGTTGAGTGTTGACCCACGAACCAAGAGGTCACGGGTTGAATTCCCAGTCAGGGCACATGCCTAGGTTTCGGGTTTGATCCCCAGTAGGGGGTGTGCAGGAGGCAGCTGATCGATGATATTTCTCTTTCATCCATGTTTCTCTATCACTCTCCATTCCTCTCTAAAAAGTTCAATATAAACATTTAAAAATAAATAAATAAAAAGCATTTATTTGAGCAAAAGGAGCTGCTGCTTTTTTTTTTTTTTAACAACACATATTCTATGAAATCCATTATTTACTTAAGTGGTCATCTATGGATGAACATTTAGATTGTTGATGGGTTTGTTTTTACATGCCAAGTAAGTACCCATATATATATACTTTCTTGTGCACACATGGCCATTCAATCTATAGGACATATTTCTAGAATTGCTGAAGCCACGGCTATCTGCATTTTTAATGCATTTTTAACTTTGAAAGGCATTGTCTAATTTCCTTCGAAGAAGTTGCACCAACATACAGCGAATGGAAACGGCTGTTTATGCCCATAAAAGACCGTCCAGATGTCATCTCATGTGAACCTTGCACACTCCCAGGGAAGAACGCGCAGGCATTATAATGACCACTGTCTGAGGAGTAAGGAAGCGGAGGCCCAGACAAGTAGCCGAGTCCCCGACCGAGCCTGACCAGGTCCTCGGTTTCCAGTCTCCGTCCAGAGACGAGACGAGGGGGAGGAGCGGGCGGCCCCGGCAGTTCCGGCCCCGAGCGCAGCTACGTCGCAGGCGGGCCGGGGTCGGGAGGCGCGCGAGCTCCCGGGGAAGGGAGGGTGCGGTGGGCGGGTCAGGACGACCCTGCTCGCTGGTCCCGGTGCAACTCCCGCCTGCTACTGGAGCAGGAGCGGTCGCCCAGGCCGGACCTGAACACTTGTGAGACCGGGAGCTAGCGTCACTCGGACAGTCGCTTCCTCTTGGGCCAGCTCCCACCTTCAGAACGTTCTCCCTCCGTCGGGCCCGGTTCGGCCCAGGCTAGGACAGGCCCGGAGCCAGGGCGGCCCCTCGTCGGGACAAGTTTTCCAAAGGCAAAACTGAACGCGCCGAAGAAACCGCGCCCCGTCTCAACACCTGGCATCCCAGACACCTCAGAGCCGCCGCTTCCAACAGAAACTACCTTTCAGGTCTCTGCGGCCTCTCCTTCGCCCGCGGCGCCGGCCCCTTCCCGCCCCCCCGCAAACCTCGCGACTCCGAACCGACCGCGACGCTCGGGCGCCATCTTGCGGCAGTTCCTCTGGCCACTCGGCCACAGCCAGGAAACTACATTTCCCAGCGTGCCTAGCGTGTCCGCGCAGGCGCCGAGAGCCTCCTCTGGTTTCCATGGGAACCTCGCCCCTCAGAGTCTCCGCACGTTGACCGCAGAGCGCGAAGCTGCCGCTTCCCTTCAGGCGCCCTGGCCCCAGGACCGGTCTGCAGCCTGTTGACGGGGAAGAGTAGGGGCCTTGAGGGGAAGAGGCCAGGCGGCCCTGCCCCCGGTACCGGCGCTCCCAAATTCTCCTCGGCGTCCCGGCGTCCGCGCGCCCCGGGGCCTCCATGCTCTGAGGAGAAGGGGTCCGGAGACGCGAAGCCGGTGTCGGTCCCCGGCCCGCACAGCCCCGCCCGCTCGGCGTCAGCGCCTCGTCCACCCCTGGCC